AGCCGCGGGGCGGGGACGGGCTGCTCCGGACTGTGAGCCCCGCTCGGGGTCCAGCGCGCGGCTACGCCACTGCCGGGTGGGAAATCGCTGGGCAGTCCCAAGGGCCTTCTCAAATTAGTCTTTTTTTATGTCTGCACCAACGGTGGGTGCGTTCACAGACTAGCTTTCTGCAAGTCCCCATTTCACACACCGATCTGGCTTCGGCACCAAGAGCTTCAGGGTTTGGGAGAAAAACTACTGCCGTTCTGGAGAGGCCGAGGGCTCCTCGCACTCCAGAGCAGCAGCATCCCTGCTGCTTCAGTTTTTCGCCAATGCCAAATTTAGACAGGCCGGGGGACTGCGAGAGAAGAGCTGGCGGGGGCAGCGTAATCCCCCCAGGCTCCTCTCGCGAGACGGGAGGGCGACAGCGGCAGGTGGGGGACGCCGCGACGCGGCAGCGGGCGCTGCTGGCACAGGGACGCGGCGAGGCCAACGCCTCCAAGCACGAAGCTGAAAACCCCAGCGGGCTGGAAGGGAAATGAGGGGCAAAGCCCTTGGCGTGAACCGTCCGGCCAGGACCTCCTCCCCCGTCTTGGGGTCAGCTCTGCGGACGCAGCTGGAGACCTGAGCCCGCACTCATAAGACCAGACCCTCTAGGGGGGATGGTCACTCGGAAGCTTTAGTCTGAGCTATTTCACCAAAAAATGAGTTTGTGACTTTTATCCATAACTGATTCCCCTGTGCTCCAAAGATTACCGTACAGCTTTATCCGGAGCAACAGCCCACGTGCAGCACGAGGAATGAGGGGAGAAAAACCTGACCCCGCCAATCTCCTCACTAACTCCTGCAGAGCATAAGTGATCAGACACCCTGAAGGGTCAACCTTCGGTACTTTAAAATAGGTCAGAAAGAGGTAAGAAAACAGGTAAGAAAATTCAAGTAGCTGAATAGCTAGAACACCCCTGCCTGAAACCCAGGGGACTCGAACTGCTACCTGCAAACCGCTGCCAGGAGCCAGGACGCACGGCTGAACCCAAATGAACCAAAGAACCGGTCTTGGGCAGAAGCTGCTGCTTTATGCAAAGCCAAGAGGAGATTAAAAAAAGAAAAGTGTCTGGAGGCCATCACAGAAGCCTATGTTTGCTCAGAGTCAACACACGAAGATGAAACGTTCGGCGCTAGCGTGCCTTCCAGTTTATTTTTGATTAAGTGGATAACCAAAGTATTTGCGCCACCAGGACAGCTTCAGATGGGTAATTACATCCCAGTTTGGAAAGGCACTTAAAAATAGTGACCAATCATTTCCCCCTCAGCCCTCTTATCTCTGCTGAGACGGAGGATGTCCTCTCCTGTGCTACAGTTTAACGTTTTCTTGGAGCTTACTCGCTTATTTATAGCGACAAGGGGGGGGTGAACCAGAAGCCCAGAAAACAGAGAAGTCTATTTCCAGGCAGCGCTGCCGACTTCAGCCAGATTTACAGCTGGCTATTCCCCAGCCCGGGGGTTTAGATTCAGACATTTTTACACAATTTGAAGCGCAGCTCTTTGAGGTCTGGCTACAACAGGAGGAAAGGAAGGAGGTGTGGCGGTTTGCAGAGCCACCCGCACCCCAGGGGAAGCGCTGCCGTGCTCTCAACCCCGTGAAACCCGCACGCCTTCCCGGGGACACCCTGGGCTCGCCCCGCGGGGACATGGGGAGGGAGGCCGTGGCTGGCGCC